AGTTTCTTTCACCCTATGCCCCTGTTACCTAGCAGTAAAATAGGTACCTGGGTGTTAGTCAGCTGTCACGGGCTGCTTCCTGGGGGTGGAGGCCTGGTCGAGGACCGGGCCGCGGGGACACTAAAGCCCCGAAATCATCTCAAGATAACCTCAAGAAGAGAGGGAATCAACAGGAGATTCCAAAAGGTCTTCACAATAAAACAGGAAGTTCCTAAACCGATAGGTTCAGTGTCCAACCAAACGACATCAGAAGACTCTGATACTACAAATTCTACTCCAGCTCATTGAAAGTTGCGATGCTAAAAAGCTAAAAAACCCAAAAGCTAAAGCTTATCCCCCAGCAAGCGCAATTAGTCGAGTACATCAATAAAGTGAGTATACACCACCTCTCAAGAGAGTGACGGTCCAAACACCACTCCTCACCACAAACGATCCAAACACCAATTCCCAACAATAACAACAAAACCTCTCACATGAACACATTCATATCCAACACAACACCCTTCAAACTAACACATAACCCCCCCCCCCCGAATAATATAGCAAGAATGATCCTTTCAACACCACACATCTCTTCTCGACGTTCTCCAAAGCCGCTCCGTTAATACGACCTCCGCAATTACCTCTATACACACACGGGAATTTCTGCCAGATTCCACTCGAAACCTTATATCCACCCCGGCCAACCCCCCCCCCCCTCCCCCCCGCTTTAACACACGTACAATAGGCGGTTTAATTCCTTCTGGCGAAGCTCTTTTCAACGCTCCCTTCCAACGATGCTCTTTTCAATATTCATCGGATCCATCTCTACCCTCCTCATCAAATCATCTGTACAATGTCCTACACTATCTCCAGGTGCCAAGCGCCTTCCCTGACAAAATTGCCATGTAAATCCTATTTTGATTCTATTAGGGCGACCATGTCTTAAAATAATGTTTTCCTCCGAGGTGTAGAGTTGTCACAAGAGGGAGAGAGAGAGAGAGAGAGAGAGAGAGAGGAGAGCAGGGCAGTGGAGAGTAAAAGAGACGTGGGGAGAAGGTGAGAAAAGAGGGAAGGAGGTCAAATGATTATTGTTAGATAATCGTTAGATAATTAGTTAGATTATTGTTAGATAGGTCAAAAGAATTGTTAGTGAGAAGGTTGGTATTGTAACGCTCAGGCAGCAAGACAGACAGACAGATAGACAAGCAGACAGATAGACAGACAAGCAGACAGGTAGACAGACAAGCAGACAGATAGATAAGCAAACAGACAGATAGACAAACAGGCAGACAGACAGTGTGTCAAGCAGGAAGGCAGTCAAACTGGTACACAGACAGACAGACAGACTGACAGACAAGTAGACATACATATAGGTAGACAGACAGACAGACAGACTGACAGACAAGTAGACATACATATAGGTAGACAGACAGACAGACAGCCTGACAGGCAGTCAGGAAGGCAGAGATAAATAAAATAAAATGTGAATTAATCTCTCTGAAGAGAGATTAATTACGGAATATAAAACAGCTCTTATTTTCCCCAGTGGAACGGTGAATGGAAGCGAACATCACCTGAGCTTCACACACAGAATAGAGATTGAAAATAAGCAATTGACTGGTGGGTAGGGTAGGCTAGGGGGAGGGTTAGGGGGGGGGGTGATGTAGGACTGATGGGGCTATGTTGGGAAGGGGGGGGGGATGTTGGGGCTAGTGGGTATAGGGGTATAAGGATTCTGCTTGTGAAAAGTATAGCAATTAGGGTATGTGTTGGTAGAATGTGTTTATTTGATATTTAGATACGTCACATATTTCTCTGTCTTTCTCTGTTGATCATGTTGTGTTGAGTGCACGCACTCATTTATGTGTACGTGTGTGTGTGTGTGTACATGGTGCCAGTACCTGTGTCTGCACGTATGTGTGTCTGTCTTAATATGTACTCATTGTGCTTGCGGGGGTTCAGCTTGGGCTCTTTGGTCCTGCCTCTCAGCTGTATATCGACTGGTGTACAGGTTCCTGACACTGTCCGTGTGTTGAACTGAACGCTTTCAACACTGGATTACATGTCTTAGCAAATTCCTTTAGAAATAAAATAATAATAATAATAATAATAATAATAATAATAATAATAATATTTTTCATCAGACGTAAGGAACATTTTAGTGCCACGCTGAACCAAAATATTATTACGTAACCAATAGCGAGAGTGTTAATATTTTTCAGTAGCCAATCACAGAACGAGGCGTATTACTCGCTGTCCAATCCCAACAGATGACGGATGGTCAGTATTGACCCATCAAAACCTGCATCGAAGAAGGCGCAATTCACTGGCCAATGACAGAATAGAAAGGTTTCTTCAGCCAATCAGATTACAAGGAAGATATAGTCTTTGGCTAATCAAAATGTAGATCGTTGATATATTGCTCTTACCATGTAACTACTGACATGTAAATAACCTCGTTTGGTGTTTGGCTTAACAGCCTCTGGAGGGTTATTAAGGTCACCACAGTAACTTATTGACCAATCACCAAGTATACCTTAGCGGCTGAGTTTAATCCAAGGTGTATATATATACACAGAGAACTAAAGTGTGTGTATATATATATATATATATATATATATATATATATATATATATATATATATATATATATATATATATATATATATATATATTAGTATATTTTGGTAGCAGTCTTTCCTGTAGACATATATTATTAAATATGACCGAAAAAGTAAGATTAATAATTCTAACACGAATTTTCTCAATCTTTCGTACATTTCTTTTCACTGGAGAAAAATGGAGCCCTTTTCCTTAATGGAGCCCTGGGCTCCATTAAGGAACATATAATCTCTTCCCACAACCAAACCATCGCCAGAGAAATCCTAGTAAACAACACAGAAATCATCGATAGATACAGCGATAGCAGGCGGCTTGACGTTTGCGAGGCACTACACATCAAGAAGTCAACACCAGCAATCAACAGCCAATTAATGCACAACTATATTCTACCCACCTCAAGACTCCGCTCCAATATAGAAGCATCAAGAAATATGGACCAATAGGCTTTCTACAATTACTTCTATTCAATACCCATTGTTTCGTGTTCTGTCTTGTGTTGATGAAATTAATACCCTATTAATGCCACCTCACCCCATCCACCTCTCTCAAATGTAGATATAAAATCGGAGATGCGTAAGTTCTATTCAGTTGTGTATTTGTAAACTAAAGTCTTTGAAAATGTAATAAGTTTTACGAAACGCGCTCGTGTCGCGTCAGACTAGAAATAAAAATGAATTTTGGAGAATTGATTTTTGATTTACCTCCAACAGTGAAAAGAAATGTACGAAAGATTGAGAAAATTCGTGTTAGAATTATTAATCTTACTTTTTCGGTCATATTTAATATATATATATATATATATATATATATATATATATATATATATATATATATATATATATATATATATATAAAACTTTACACATCTCGCTCTTATTTATTCTTATAAAAAACTTGTCTTAGGGGAAAAACAAAAATGTATTTAGTTATTTGATGTATTGGGCCGATAATTATATATAAATACAACCAAACTAAATTAATTATTCCATAATCGGGGGATTTAATAATTGTAAAATATATGTAATTATCTTAATTATTCACAATTATGGGAAGTAAGCGAAAGGTACCTACCTTCACAGTATTTCCTGGACACGAACTGCTCAGGGAAGAAACTTTAAGAAATATATGATACAAAATAGTGAAGATCAGAGGAGTAATGTGCGGAGGGCGTAGAGAAGAGAGGAAGGGTAAGAGGGAACGATGAAAGGAAGGAAAGAGGGAGAGAATAAAGGAGATAGAGAGTGAAGATGGGGAGGCGGGGTATGAAGAAGAGAGTGAAGAATAGAGAGAGGGAAAAAGGGGGGGGGAGTAAATGAAGAAGAGAGGAAGGAGAGGAGAAGGGGAGAGAGGGAGGGAGACAGCGAGAGGTCTTGGTATTCCCACCAAATCGTCAACACGGCCCAATTCATTCCCGTTCCCATTCCAAGTTTCTCAATTACCGGCGTCTTACTCCCTCACCGCTGGATTTGCATACCCCTGATCTTCACCGTGTCCCGATCCCCAACTTGACACCGACTTCAGTCTGGATTTTTTCCCTGTTGGAGTTGTGTTCGAAGTTGGGTTAAGCCTCCAAGGCGTGTTTGTACTCTTCCCGACTTTTGCAGATTACGATTCTTGCTTGCTGGTGCTTTGCGTCGGGAGTCGCTTGCCGCTTGCGGCGCCTCTGAGGCCGCGGTCGTCATGGGAATCGGAAATAGCCAGATCTTTCTCAAAGTTTGATTGAGAGCGCGAGGCGGCGCGTAATATCTGATCTGACTAATGTCTATGGAGGCTTATCCTACGGTTCTTGGTGATGTCCTGTCGTCCTTGGTGACGTCCTGTCGTCCTTGGTGATGTTCTGTCGTCCTTGGTGATGTCCTGTCGTCCTTGGTGACGTCCTGTCGTCCTTGGTGATGTTCTGTCGTCCGTGGTGATGTCCTGTCGTCCTTGGTGACGTCCTGTCGTCCTTGGTGATGTTCTGTCGTCCTTGGTGACGTCCTGTCGTCCTTGGTGATGTTCTGTCGTCCGTGGTGATGTCCTGTCGTCCTTGGTGACGTCCTGTCGTCCTTGGTGATGTTCTGTCGTCCTTGGTGACGTCCTGTCGTCCTTGGTGACGTCCTGTCGTCCTTGGTGATGTTCTGTCGTCCTTGGTGATGTCCTGTCGTCCTTGGTGATGTCCTGTCGTCCTTGGGGATGTCTTGTCGTCCTTGGTGATGTCCTGTCGTCCTTGGTGACGTCCTGTCGTCCTTGGTGATGTTCTGTCGTCCTTGGTGATGTTCTGTCGTCCTTGGTGATGTCCTGTCGTCCTTGGGGATGTCTTGTCGTCCTTGGTGATGTCCTGTCGTCCTTGGTGATGTCCTGTCGTCCTTCGGGATGCCCTGTCGTCCTTGGGATGTCATGTCTTCTCTGGTGATGTCCTATCGTCCTTGGTGATGTCCTGTCGTCCTTGGTGATGTCCTGTCGTTCTTGGCGATGTCCTGTCGTCCTTGTTGATGTCCTGTCGTCCTTGGGATGTCATGTCTTCTCTGGTGATGTCCTGTCGTCCTTGGTGATGTCCTGTCGTCCTTGGGGGTGTCCTGTCGTCCTTGGGGATGTCCTGACGTTCTTAGTGATATCTTGTCGTCCTTGGTGATGTCCTGTCGTCCTTGGTGATGTCCTGTCGTCCTTGGTGACGTCCTGTCGTCCTTGGGGATGTCCTGTCGTCCTTGTTGATGTCCTGTCGTCCTTGGTGATGTTCTGTCGTCCTTGGTGATGTCCTGTCGTCCTTGGTGATGTCCTGTCGTCCTTGGTGATGTCCTGTCGTCCTTGGTGATGTCCTGTCGTCCTTGGGGGTCCTGTCGTCCTTGGTGATGTCCTTTAGTCCTTGGTGATGTCCTGTCGTCCTTGGTGATGTTCTGTCGTCCTTGGTGATGTCCTGTCGTCCTTGGTGATGTTCTGTCGTCCTTGGGGATGTTCTGTCGGCCTTGGTGATGTTCTGTCGTCCTTGGTGATGTTCTGTCGTCCTTGGTGATGTTCTGTCGTCCTTGGTGATGTTCTGTCGTCCTTGGTGATGTTCTGTCGTCCTTGGTGATGTTCTGTCGTCCTTGGGGATGTTCTGTCGTCCTTGGTGATGTTCTGTCGTCCTTGGTGATGTTCTGTCGGCCTTGGTGATGTTCTGTCGTCCTTGGTGATGTCCTGTCGTCCTTGGTGATGTTCTGTCGTCCTTGGTGATGTTCTGTCGTCCTTGGTGATGTCCTGTCGTCCTTGGTGATGTCCTGTCGTCCTTGGTGATGTTCTGTCGTCCTTGGGGATGTCCTGTCGTCCCTGGTGATGCCCTGTCGTCCATGGTGATGTCCTGTCGTCCTTGGGGATGTCCTGTCGTCCTTGGGGATGTCCTGTCGTCGTTGGTGACGTCCTGTCGTCCTTGGGGATGTCATGTCGTCCTTGGGGATGTCCTGTCGTCCCTGGTGATGTCCTGTCGTCCTTGGTGATGTCCTGTCGTCCTTGGTGATGTCCTGTCGTCCTTGGGGGTGTCCTGTCGTCCTTGGTGATGTCCTTTAGTCCTTGGTGATGTCCTGTCGTTCTTGGTGATGTCCTGTCGTCCTTGGTGATGTCCTGTCGTCCTTGGTGATGTCCTGTCGTCCCTGGTGATGTCCTGTCGTCCTTGGTGATGTCCTGTCGTCCTTGGTGATGTCCTGTCGTCCTTGGGGGTGTCCTGTCGTCCTTGGTGATGTCCTGTCGTCCTTGGTGATGTCCTGTCGTCCTTGGGGATGTCCTGTTGTCCTTGGGGATGTCCTGTCGTCCTTGGTGATCTCCTGTCGTCCTTGGTGATGTCCTTTAGTCCTTGGTGATGTCCTGTCGTCCTTGGTGATACCCTAATGTTCTTGATCATATCCTGTTGTCCGTAGTGATGTCTTGACCGATTGCTTGACATCCTGTCCATTTTTTAAACAGGATATTCCATCGTCTGTTTATATTACAGATGTTAATTGTGGTATCTGGTGACTTCCGATGGTCTTCCAGATGGCATATATCCTGCCATCTGGCGTGGTACAAAGGGGGCGTGGTACAGAGGGGGTGTGGTACAGAGGGGGTGTGGTACAGAGGGGGTGTGGTACAGAGGGGTGTGGTACAGAGGGGGTGTGGTACAGAGGGGGTGTGGTACAGAGGGGGTGTGGTACAGAGGGGGTGTGATACAGAGGGGGCGTGGTACAGAGGGGGCGTGGTACAGAGGTGGGTGGTACAGAGGGAGCGTGCTGTCAACACTTACCAAGATGACCAGTACTGACCCCACGTAACTAACCAGGAGAGCCAAGACATGATATACACAAGCGAGAGAAGGAGGGCGGAAACAGGACACATCCGGCGTTGTCTCAATACCAGTACAGCGTTGTTCTGGTGATGGGTTTAAGGCCCTTCAACCTCTGCAGGGTTATTAAGGCCACTACAATAGTTTATTGACCAACTATATAGCCTTTGGTGTTGGGTTTAAGATCCATATTATCCCCCGGAGGGGAAGTAAGGTCACCATTATATCTAACCGTCCAACCAGCAAGTTTATTTTAGTTCTGAACATAGTCCTGGACTATGTAGTAGACTATATATATATATACTATATTTCTAGGGGAAAGTAGCAAGTTTACGAAGGTATGGCTAGCAGTTGAAGGAGGATAAACCCTTCGTGCAAACTGCATCTCCTATTAAGAAGAAGGAGGAATGGTATAAGGGTCGGCCATTAGGCCATTCAGGTGTTGTAAGTTTTGCTGCACAACTCTTCTTTTGCCACCACGACGCAATCACAACTTAGCGAGGGTTGTTATAACTTGATATTTTAATTTATCAAGTAACTTTTCATGCATCTGTGCTTCTGTAAATGCAAGTAATAGGTGTTGAATAGGTGTTGCTGCGTGAGCTTTACGTGTGGAGGGCTCTTAAGGGGTCATCCTCACATCCTTGGCTAATATCTCATTATACAACCCGTCCTTATACTAGGCTGGTTAAAGCAGCGGCCGTCCTCCCCCAGACGCATTCATTAATTTTAACATACTGTGTATTAAAAATTGGTTTGTTCTCATATATATATATATATATATATATATATATATATATATATATATATATATATATATTTATATATATATATATATATATATATATATATATATATATATATATATATATATATATATATATTAATATTATTATACATCAAAACTTTATGTATAATTAGGCGTAGTTTGGGTTCTGTTGGCGATTATTTGTATTTGAAGTACTTGGGTGAAGACTCAAGTCCATTACATCCAGCGGATGACCTCACAGATGCATTCATAAATTTTTACATGCTGTTCATTCAAAACGCCAATTTTCTCAAATATGAATTAATATTATAATATATTAACATATTATCCATATATAGGCATAGGTTAGGTTAGGTTACGTTAGGTGTTTAGGTTCTGTTGGCGATTATTTGTATTTGTAGTACGTGGGTGAAGCATTTACAGCGTTGTGGTTCGAACAAAATTCGTCAGTGAAGCACTTGTTCCGAAGTATTCGAAAGAAATCAGTTGTGAGTCGTGTGTAACCGTTTTTCATTCATAAACAGGGGGTTTGGCGGGTGCATGGAATCACTTTTGGGTCTTTGTTTGGAGGACGGGCTGGTTTACACACGACTCAACTGATAACGTGAACTTTTGACGCTTCGTTCACGTCCTCTGCTTCATTCCCACCTCTCAAGCCCGTCCTCGCATACAAAGATCCAAGCTCGTTAATCCAGCCGCCAAACCCCCCTGTTTATGAATGAAAAGCGGTTTACACACGACTCACAACTGATGACGTCCGAACACTTCCGGAACAAGTGCTTCGCTCACGTCCTCTGTTCAAACCACAATTCTATAAATGCTTCACCCACGTTCTTCAAATACAAATAATTGCCAACAGACCCTAAACTCCTAACCTAACCTACACCTACCTATACACATAATTTTTATGTATAGTAATATTAATTTATATATGAGAACAAACCCATTTTTAATACACCATATGTTAAAATTGATGAATGCGTCTGGGGGAGAACGGATGCTGCTTTAAACAGCCTAGTGTACCTTAGATGGTCATAACCTAACGATCGGCTCTCTAATTGGTGTCATCATGTACAAACGGTCGTAAGATTTACAACGTGTTAGTTAAATGCTGACACAATAGCAATGACAATAGGCTGTTTTTTTTGCAATTCTCAGCCAGTAATGTTAAACCTTCCCTAAGTCAACGTTACAAAACACCTCATCTAACCTTACTTAGGCCAAACTATGCATAAACTCCCAACATATTATTATTAATTTATATTTGAGAAAATGGCATTCATTCTGTCAGTCGAGTCGTAATGACTTGGCGCTTTCCCTGATAATTCTCTCTCTCTCTCTCTCTCTCTCTCTCTCTCTCTCTCTCTCTCTCTCTCTCTCTCTCTCTCTCTCTCTCTCTCTCTCTCTCTCTCTCTCTCTCTCTCTCTCTCAGTCTAATACGTCAGACATATTAGTCAAATGCTGACGTTTTAAAGATGGAGTGAATTTTTGTGTTTTGTTTACGTTTGCCTCTGATGGAGTATGGGTTAGATATAATATAATATATTCTAACGCTAGGCTTTGGTGTCAGAAGCCCAATAATACGAAGCTTATTTCAAACTATTGAAATGTGACAACCGTGTAATATGATATCTCAAAACAATATAAATCTTGAAATATCTATATATATATATATACTACAACCAATTATTTTTAATGACCGCACTGTTTTCTATTGTATTATTTTTGGAAAATTGGATAAATGAATATACTGTACTGTACTGTACCCGGTACTTCCATTGTCCATCAATTCAATCAAATTTATTTTTGACTCTGCAGGACAAAATTTGCATAGAAAAGCATAATGAAATCACAAGAAACTAATATATTTATGAGGCTATGTTGAGGCCAAACTTTACATAGGAAGTAATAAGGCCAAACTTTACATAGGAAGTAATAAGGCCAAACTTTACATAGGAAGTAATGAGGCCAAACTTTACATAGGAAGTAATAAGGCCAAACTTTACATAGAAAGTAATGAGGCCAAACTTTATATAAGAAGTTCAGTTTGAACATAAGAAGCAGTATACACACTTTGTGTGTTTTCCCTGGGTTCATTTGTGAACTATACATTACGTTTGTTCAGGGAGACAAGTCTGTGATGAGAAGCTTTCTTCAGCTTTCTTGTAGCATGATCACTGATTGTCCGTTGCTTTACTGTTGCCAAAGACTTTGCAACTCTCGTGGGGAGCTTAAACTAACTCGTTAGGTCAAACGATTGTCCGGCAAGCTCAGATGGGATTTCTCTTCAGTGTATTGCAACCATGTATTTTTTTTTTTTTTGGGGGGGGGGGGGGGGGCCTTCCCGCCCCTTCCATCCTCCACCCCCATCTCCCGTCCCCTCCCACCTCCCCCCCATTCCACGATCTCGTTCACCGGGAGTTACAATATCCCAAGGTTTCCCAACCTTATTCCGGGTGCTTCCCGGCTATATCGCAGATTACCCCGGGGTTACTCTCAGATATGCCTGGTACCCCCCCCCCCGGGGTTTACCCGCAGGTACACCCAGGTACCTTCGGCAGCAAGTACCAGGTGGAGGAGTCATTACCAAGCGCACGTGGTCGGCTTCTCTTCTTTACGACCTTTTAATGGCATATATTTAAAGTCTCTTCTACACTGCCAGGCGGCTCCTCCCTCCCTCCTGTCTCGCTGTCATGGCTCTCTCTCTTCCTTGTATGATACATATATATATATATAATATATATATATATATATATATATATATATATATATATATATATATATATATATATATATATTAACATTTGTCGTACTTAGTAGCCAGAATGCCCTTCTCGGCTACTATGCAAGGTCAGATTTGCCTAATAGGCCGAGTGACTTTCTTTATTTTCAAAATATTGTTTCCAATTTGTTTATTTGAAATGTTATTATTATATTATGTTAAGAACATGAATTATTGAATTAGTTATGTTAGTTTAGGTTAGGTTAAGATAGGTTAGGTTAGGTTGGTTAGGTTCGGTCATATATCTACATTAGTTTTAACTCAAATTAAAAGAACTTAACTCATACATAAACAAATGGATAGTTTTATCATTTCATGAGAGTGTTTTAAAATATTTCTGAGACATACGGAACGCAAATTGGTATGTTATATGTCATATTAGACTGACTTTAAATATTTTATTTTTGGTGTGCAGAATTTTGAAATTATTCAAAATATATTTATATTGGTGATTCAGATGATAAATTGATATATATATAATAGGCCTCCCTCTCTCTCTCTCAGACTGACTTCCCACCTATTTTCCATATCTACGACATCTCTCTCTGTCTCTCTCTCTCTCTCTCTCTCTCTCTCT